ATGAAGATGCCATTCAAATAAAGTTACAACACTTTGTCAAGGTAAAAACCAAACACAAGACCACTATAAACATTGCAACCACAGCTTCCCAAAACCCGAAGTCAGACAACCATCACTTAGACTACCGACTTTCTCTGGAACAGAAGACGAAATTTGGGATAACTTCTGAAACAAATTTATCGATTCAGTAGATGCTAATGTCAATATTGTGAAGACAACTAAAGTTACATATTTGCAGGATGTTTCAAAGGGTGAAGCGTTAAAAGTAGTCAGCAATTTAACATTGTCAAATGATGGCTATGATAGCGCAGTACAGATCCTTAAGGAAACTTCTGCTAAGCCAGGACGCGCTATCAGACTTTTAACCCAACAATTGTTGGACATACCAATCTACAGATGGATCCGCTGACTCACTCCATGCCTTTAGATTGGAGCTTGAGTCTTTACTCAAAGCACTTAGCACTAAAGTAAACTTGGATGAATCTGACTGGACAATCCAAGTCCCTAGGAGATGCAAATTACCCAGTGAAATACTGGATAAGTTGTTTGTCTTACATAACAAATCTTCTCTGACAGTAAAGGAGATTACAAAAGGTTTACGCTCTGTCAAAGAAAGACAGAGACAACACAGATGGTAAATCAACACCTAAACCTTCGTTAAACCTTAAACTGTGCAATGCGCCTGCAGGCCCACATCTGGGGTGCGTAATGTGCCTGCGGATATTTTTATTTTTAGCGTTCCAATCAAAATTCCCGCGGCTACATGGGGTTCACATCAGCTTCCCCAGGGCTCTTGTAAACAAACGACATTTTAAAAAAATCGTGGGCCACATTCCCTGGTGTGAGAGCCTCAGTACTGAGTGAGCAACCAAGGGCGGCGCACACAGCATCAGCTCACAGCACTGCTGTTCAGCTTGTGACCACAGCATCGCCTAATAATGTCAAAATATATATATATAACTTGTATTATTTAGCTATGATAGTATTATAGAAGAGCCTGAGTGTTCTCCCACCACAGATGACACTCAGATGACACTCTGAGTGTCATCCCACCACAACATTGATGCTTCCCACCTCAGTACGGATGCCTCCCATAACAACATTGATGACTCACACAACAACATTCATGGCCTCTATCTCAGCAATGATGCCTCCAATCACAACATTGATTCTTACCACTACAACAATGATGCCTCCGACAGCGGCAATGATGATTCTCACCACAACAATGAGGCGTCCGACCACAACAATGATGCCTCCCACAACAACAGTGATTGCTCCCACTACATCAACGCTTCCTCCCACTACAACAATGCTTCCTCGCACCACAACATTGATGTCTCCCACCACAAAAATCATGCCTTCCATCACAACAATGATGCCTCTAAAAACAACAATGATGCCTCCCACCACAACAATGATGCCTCTGACCACAACATTTACGCCTCCCACCAAAACAATGATGATTCCCACAACATTGATGCCTCCCATAACAACATTGATGCCACCCACGATAACATTGATTGCTCCCACCACATCAATAATTCCAGCCAACACAACAATAATGTCTATCACCACAGCATTGATGCCTTCCACCAAAACATTGATACCTCCCACCACAAAATTGATGCCAACCTCCACCACATTGATGCTACCCACTTAGACATTGATGCCTCCCACCACAACATTGCTTTCTAATGCCACAAAAATTATGTCTTCCAACACAACATTGATGATTCCGACCACAACATTGATGCCTCCGACCACAATATTAATGCCTCTAACTACAACAGTTTTGCCTCATATAACATTGATACCTCCCACCACTACACTGATGCCTCCCACCACAACAACGATGCCTTCCATCACAACAATGACTTCCTTCTACCAAAAAAATGATGGATCACCCATAACAATGATGCATCCCACCATAATACTGTTGCCTTCGACCTCAAAAATAACGTCTCCCACCACTACTTTGATGCCTCCCACCAAAACAATTATAAGTATCACCACAACATTGATAGCTCCCACCAAAAAAATGATGCCTCCCACCACAGGGATGATGCCACCTACCACAATATTGATGGTTCCTACAACAACATTGATGCCTCCCACCACAACAATGATGCCTTTGGCCACAACACTGATGCCTCCGACAACAACATTGATGCCTTCACCAAAACATTGATGATTCCCACAACAACATTAATACCTCCTAACACAACAATGATGCCTCCCACCTAAAAAATTATGCCTCCCACCACAACAATGATGACTCCCACCACAACATTGATGGCTCCCAACACAACAATGATGCCTCCCCTCACAACAATGATGCCTTCCCCCACAACAATGATGCCTCCCTCCACAACTATAATGCCTTCGCCCTCAACATTGATTCCTCCCACCTCACCAATAATGCCTCCCACCACACCATTGATGCCTCCAACCACATCATTGATGACTCCCACAACAACATTGATAGCTCGCTCCTAACTATTGATGACACCACACCAATGACAGCTCCCACCACAACAATGCTTGCTCCCACCTCAACATTGACGCCGCCCACCACAAATTGATGGCTCCCACCTCAATACTGATGCCTCCCACCACGGCATTGATGCCTCCCACTACAACAAAGATGCCTTCCACCACAACAATTATGCCTCCGTCCACATCATTGATGCATACTGTTACAACAATGGTGCCTCACACCACAACAATGATGCCTCCTACTACAACAAAGATGCACACCCATCACATCATTGATGCCCCTCACCACAATATTGATGTATCCCACCACAACAATGATGGATTCCACAAAAACACTGATGGCTTAATCAACAACATTGTTGGCTTAAACAACAACATTGATGACTCCCTCAATAACAATGATGGCTCCCACCAGAATATTAATGACTCTGACAACATCTTTGTTGGCTCCAACTACAACATTGATACTTCCCACTTACACTTTGATGCCTCCCACCACAACATTGATGCCTCCCACAACAACAATGATGCCTACAACCACAACAATGATGCCTTTACACCTCAACAATGATACCTCCCACCACAGCACTGATACCTCCCACCACAACAAATATTTCTCCCACCACAATATTGATGGCTCACACCACAACTTTGATGGCTCCTACTATAACATTGATACCGCCCACCAAAACAATGATGGCTCCTACCTCATAAATGATGCCTCCTACAACAATAATGATGCCAACTACTACATCAATGATGCCTTCGACCTCAACAGTGATGACTCCTACCACAACATTGATGGCTCTCACCTCAACAATGATGACTCCGGCCACAACAGTGATGCATACCACAACAACAATGATGCCTCCGACCACAACAATGATGCCTCCAAACACAAAAATGATGTCTTCCATCATAACATTGATGGCTCCCACCACAACAGCGATGGCTCCCACTACCACACTGATGACTCATACCAAAACACTGATGACTCATACTACAACAATGATACCTATGACCCCAGCAATGATGCCTCCAACCCAACATTGATGACTTCAACAACAACAATGATAGCACCCACCTCGATATTTATGTCTCCCACCATAAAATTTATGGTTTTCACGACAACAATGATACTTCACACCACAACAATGATGCCTCTTAATTCATCATAGATGCACACCCATCACAAAATTGATGCCTCTCACCACAATATTGATGCATCCCACTACAACAACGATGGTTCCCAGGACAACATTTATGAATCTCTCCACAACATTGATTCTACCGACCACTACATTGATGCCTCCCACCCAATATTAATGGCCCCCCATTACAACATCGATGCCTACCACCAGAACAATGATGCCTCCCACCACAACATTGATGGCCCCCACCACAATATTAATGCTTTCCACAACAGCAATGATGCCTCCCACCACATCAATGATGGCTCCAACCTCATCAATAATGGCTCTGACAACAACATTGATGCAAACCACTAAAACAATGATGCCTGAGACCACAACAGTGATGCCTCCCACCACAACAATGATGGCTCCCTCCAAATCAACTATGCCTCCGAAATCCATATTGATGCCTACCAATACAACAGTGATATCTCCGACCACAACAGTGATGCCTCCCACCACATTATTGATGCCTCCTACCAAAACATTGATGCCTCCCATAACAACATTGATGCCACCCATACAACACTCATGGCACCCACCACAACAATGATGCCACCCAATACAACAATAATGTCTCTGACTACAGCATTGATGCCTCCCACCACAACACTGATACCTCCCACTAAAAATTGAGGCCACCCTCCACAACATTGATACCACTAACTACAACATTGATGCGTCCCCACCTCAACATTAATGCCTCCCACCACAAAAATTATGTCTCCCCTCACAACATTGATGCCTCCGACTACAACATTGATGGTTCCTACCACAACACTGATGCCTCCCACTGCAACATTTATTGCTGCCACCACAACAATGATGCTTCAAACCACAACATTGATGCCTAACACTACAAAAATGATGTCTCCGACTACAACAATTATGCCTCCCACTAAAACATTGATGGCTCACAACACATCCCTGATGCCAACCACCACAAAAATTATGCCTCCCACTACAACATTGAGGGCTCACACAACGACATTGATGGTTCACGCAACAACATTGATGGCTCACACAACAACATTGATGACTCACTCGACAACATTGATGGCTCTCTTCACAACATTGATGCCTCCCAACACAATTTTGATGCCTCCCACCAAAATATTGTTGCCTCCCACCAAAATATTGATGCCGCCCACCACAACAATGATGCCTCCCACCACAACACTGACGCAACCCATCACAACATTGATGCCTCCCAAAACATCCCTGATGCTTCCCACCACAACAATGATGCCTCTGACCAAAACAATGATGCCTCCAACCTCAGGAATGATGCCTCCTACATAAAAAATTATGGCTACCACCACAAATATTTTTGATGGTTCTCACCCAAATATTGATGCCTCCCAAAAAAACACTGCTGCCCCTACCCCAATATTTATGGATCCCGTCACAACCTTGATGCTTCTAACCACAACAATGAAGCCTCCCACCAGAACAATGAGGCCTCCAACCACAACAATGATGCATCGCACCACAACATTGATGGTTCCCACCACAACACTGATGTCTGACATCACAACAATGATGCCTCAGAACACAATAATGATGCCTCCGACCAAAACATTGAGGACTACCACCACAACATTGAAACCTCCCACCACAAAAATGATGCCTCCCACCACAACAATGATGCCTTCAATCACAACAATGATACCTTCCACCACAACAATGATGCCTCCCACCAAAACAATGATTCCTCCGACCACAACTTTGATGCCTCCCACCTCAACAATGATGCCTCCCGACAAAAGAATGATGCCTCCTACCACAAAATTGATGGCTCTCACCGCAACATTGATTCCTCCTACCACAACAATGATACCTCTGATCACAACAATGATGCTCGCACTACAACATTGATGGTTCCCAACACAACACTGATGCCTCCCACCACAACTTTGATGGCTCACACAACAACATTGATGGCTTCCACCAAAACATTTATGGCTCCCTCTGCAACATTGACGCCTCCCAACACAATATTGATGCCTCCCACCACAACATTGACTCCTCCCATCACAACAATGATGGCTCCCTCAACAACATTGATGGCTCCCACTAAAACATTGATTGCGTCCACCTCAACATTGATGCCACCACACCACAATATTGATGCTACCCACAACAACATTGATGGCTTCCACCACAATATTGATGGTGCCACGACAACATTGATGCCTCTAACCACAACAGTAATGCTTCTGACCACAAAATTCATGCCTACCACCACAACATTTAAGCCACCTATCCACAACAATAACGTCTCTAACCACAACATTAATGTCTCCCGCCACAACATTGTTGCCTTCTACATCAAAATTTATTCCAACCTGCACAACATTGATGCCACTAACTACAACATTAATGCCTCCCACCACAACACTGATGCCTCCCACCACACTAATTATGCCACCCACTACAAAGTTGATGCCTTCCACCACAAAAATGATGTCTTCCCTCAAAACATTGATGCCTCACACCACAACATTGATGCCTCTGACCAAAACGTTGATAGCTCCCATCATAACATTGATGCCTCCCACCACAATATTATAGCTACCACCACAACAATGATGCCTCAAGCCACAACATTGATGCCACCCCCCCCCCCAACATTTTTGCCTCCCACCACAACAATGATGCCTTCCATCACAACAATGACCCCACCTTCCACCACAACAACTCTCACCACAGCAATGATGCCTCCGACCACAACTTTGATGCCTTCCACCTCAAAAATAATGTCTCTCATCACAGCTTTGATGCCTACCACCACAAAAATGATGTCTCCCACCAAAAGAATGATGCCTCTTAACACAAAAGTGATTGCGCCCACCACAATATTGATGCCTCCTACCACAACAATGACGCCTCTGATCACAACAATGATGCCCCCGCCACAACAATGATGGCTCCCACAACATTGATGGCCCCCACCAAAACATTGATTGTTCCCTCCTCAACATTGATGCCATCACATCACAACTTTGGTGCCTCCCACTACAACATCGATGCCTCTCACAACAACATTAATGCAACCCACCACAACATTGATGGCACCCACGACAACACTGATTCCTCTAACCCCAACAGTAATGCTTCTGATCACAACATTGACGCCTCCCACCACAACATTGAGGCCTCCCACCACAACAATGATGACAACCACCACAACATTGATGCTTCCCTCCTCAACACTGATGCCTAGCACCACATGAATGACGGCTCCCAGCACATCAATGATGCCTTTAGACATCAACATTGATGCCTGCCAATACGACAATGATGCCTCCGACTACAACAATGAGGCCACCCACCACATTAATGATGCCTCCCACCACAATATTGATAACATCATTGATAACATGATAACATTATTGATAACAACATGATAACTCTCATAACATCATTGACGCCACCCACATAACATTGATGGCTCCCACCACAAGAATGATGCCACCCAATACAACAATAATGTCTCTGACCACAAAATTGATACCTCCCACCACAACAGTGATACCTCCCACCACAACAGTGATACCTCCCACACAAAATTAAGGCCACCCTCCACTTCATTGATAACACCCACTACAACATTGATGCCTCCCACCTCAACATTGATCCCTCCCACCACATAAATGATGTTTCCCCTCAGAAAATTTATGCCTTCCACCACAACATTGATGCCTCCAATCACAACAATGATGCCTCAAACCAAAACATTGATGGCTTACATCACAACAATGATGGCTCCCACCACAACAATGATGCAGCCAACCACAACATTGACGCATCCCATCACAACATTGATGGCTCCCAAAACATCCCTGATGCCTCCAACCACAACAATGTTGCCGCTGACCAAAACAATGATGCCTCCTACATAAAAAATTATGGCTACCACCACAGTGATGGGTCTCACCAGAATATTCATGCCTCCCAACAAAACATTGCGGCCCCCACCCCAACACTGAAGGTTCCCACCACAACATTGATGCGTCCCACCACAACTCGTGATGGCTCGCATCACAACATTGATGGCTCCCAGCACAAATTTGATGCCTACCACTACAACAATGATGCCTCAGATCACAACAATGAAGCCTCCACCAGAACAATGAGGCCTCTGACCACAACAATGATACGTCGCACTACAACATTGATGGTTCCCACTACAACACTGATGCCTGACTTCACAACAATGATGCCTCAGAACACAATAATGATACCTCCGACTAAAACATTGAATACTACCACCACAACATTGAAACCTCCCACTACAAAAATGATGCCTCCCACCACAACAATGATGCCTTCCATCACAACAGTGATTACTTCCACCACAACAATGATGCCTCCAACCACAACAATGATTCATCCGACCACAACATTGATGCCTCCCACCTCAACAGTAATGCCTCCCACCACACCATTGATGCCTCCCACCACAACAATGATGACTCGTAACTCAACTTTGATATCTCCCACCACAACAATGATGCCTCCCAACACAAGAATGGTGCCTCCTACCACAAAATTGATGGCTCCCACCACAACATTGATGCCACTAACTACAACATTTATGCCTCCCACCACAACACTGATGCCTCCCACTACATTAATGATGCCACCCACTACAAAATTGATTCCTTCCACCACAAAAATTATGTCTCCCCTCAAAACATTGATGCCTCACACCACAACACTGAAGCCTCTGACCACAATGTTGATGACTCCCATCATAACATTGATGCCTCCTTCCACAACATTCAAAGCTGCCACAACTACAATGATGCCTCAAGCCACAACATTGATCTCTACCGCTACAACAATGATGCCCCCAACCTCAACAATCATGCCACCCACTACAACAATGACGCCTCCGGTCACAACAATGATGGTTCCCACCACAACAATGATGCATCATATCACATCATTGATGGCGCACAACACATCCCTGATGCCTCCCACCACAACAAAGATGCCTCTGACCAAAACAATGATGCCTCCAACTACAACATTGATGCCTTTCATCACAACTTTTTTGCCTCCCACAACAACATTGATACCTCCCACCACAACAATGATGCCTCCCACCACACCAATGATGTCTTCCATCACAACAATGACCCCTTTCCCTCCACAACAATGATGCCTCCCACCACAGCAATGATGCCTCCGACCACAGCTTTGATGCCTTTCACCTCAACAATAATGTCTTTCATCACAACATTGATGCCTACCACCACAAAAATGATGACTCCAACCACAAGAATGACGCCTCCTACCACAAAATTGATGGCTTCCACCACACCATTGATGCCTGAACACTGCAGAGTACGCTACTGCATTGTGACGTGAGTCTATCATGCCTTTAGGGTTCGAGCGGTCTAACATACACTCGAAGTCATAAAAGCACATGTAACTAGGACCATATCCATGTTCATAGTTCCGGAAAGTAATCTTCCTCTCTGCTGCATAAAATTTGAGAGTCTGATGCACTCTACATGTACTTTCATGAGCTTGCATATGATCTGGTGGGAGTGATATTAAAAAACAATGACAAAAGCTAGGGTGAGATGGGACCTTTTCAGGGTGCGAGTTAATATTACGTACATAACGGTTAAAATGTTTAATTAATACTAAGTGTTGAGTATCCAACATCAACAATGAAATAATGTCCTTATGCCCTCCTCTTTCTTTCTAGCTAGAGTGATATAGTGACGCTGACGCTTAGCATTTTCATCCCGTTCTAGTGAATAGATGAATACACTAACCTGATTTATTTTTTCAACCTTGGTGATTTCCTCGAATATAATTCCAGAATTAACATCTGCTGGCCAATTAATGTGACTGAGACACCAACTAGCATTCACAGATCTAGCGCGAATATTATCCAGTTGCATCTCCTTGGCTAAACATTTATAAGCTGAAACACACTGCATAAGGCAAATATTGGCCTCACTCTCTGGATTGAAAACTAATCTCTCCCCCCGCAAGCGTTTAGGATACTTTACATGCGATCCTAATCTTATTGGGTGTTCAATCTAAGCACACTTGATATAAAAACCAGTGATCAGCCCAACCAAGACATTGGACCCTCTCTTTCTCTTTCAAGCAGAGGGGATATTTTTTCTGTCAATTCATCAGCTCAAAAATTAATAAGTGTTTCTACCTCATCGTGAGTTACGGTTCTCCCCTTACCTCATATGGGAAAACCATCATTATTTATAGTATCAAGTAAATCCTCCTCCTCTTCATCGTCATGTTGTACATTTAAAATGCGCACAATTAGTGTAATGTCCGGGTAAATTAGGAGGGCGGGAGGGATGATGAGGAGAGAAGAGAGAGCGAATCTCATTAATGAAAAAAAAACTCTGTAAGTTCTCAGATACAACCCTGGGGAGGTGTTAACATGGTCTGGTATGGAGAATGAAAGCCGAACATATCCACCATTATAATTATCAATACGATCCAGTAGTTGTGGCTGAATTTCTAACACAAGTGGGGAAGAGAGAGTGATCGGAGGTGGAGGAGAGGGGGGAAGGGCATGGGGAGTGGGTGGTGGTGAGAGCTCTCCTCCAACCCCCCACCCCCCCGCGCCATGAAAGGGCGGTGGGGGGGGGGCACCATCAGCTGTTACACCTAACACTGCTAACCAGTCGGAATTGTCAGACGATAACGATACAAGGTCGTCTGAGCTGTCATCTGACTAACCGACATTCTCTATTCGCGCTCTGTTGTTCACACCCAAGGTTGGACCGCTAAAACAGTCCTGCTGCTGCTCCCAATCCTAGTTCCACTGGGGAGAGTGGATGGTGGGAGGAAGGAGGGAGAGGAGTGAGGAATTGAGTGCATGGGTGAAGGTCCACCAATCTCCCCATGAGCGCTACTGCTGCTGCTGCCACTTCTGCCGCTGCTGTCGCTGCTGTTACTGCTGTGTGTGTTTAGTTAGCCCTCACTGCTGCTAGTTACCAAATCTATGCAGAGCGGGCTCAGATCTGCAGAAAGAAAAACATATTATCTCTAGAAAGAATGAAACATATATATATATATATATATATATATATATATATATATATATATATATATATATATATATATATATATATATATATATATATATATATATATATATATATATATATATATATCAATGAGGTAAGATGCAGTGCATGGTTCCCACCAGCTTCCAAAGGGAAGCAATGGCCAGCTGCTATTGACAGTTAGAGAAGAGACTCCTATTAACCTAATCTTCAGAGCACAAATCACCAAGAAAATTGAAGAGGGAAATACCGGAAGTGCTATTAGAGTCCTCACCAGTGACGAGAAAATTGCTCCTCGAAACTCAGCCACAGCACGGGCCCTGCAAAGCAAGCACCCACCCAGAGCCCCTCTAGGCGACAACATCGTTCCGCCATTAGCCAACACCATTTCAGACCCATTAATCGTTGGTCAATCTGAGGTCTACAAAGCAGCCCTTTCTTTTCCACCTGGGTCAGCAGGCAGCTTTACAGGGTTAAAACCTCAACACATCAAGCAAATGTTAAATCCTGCGGTTGGTGATGCTGCACAAGATCTTCTTATGGAACTCACAAGGTTCGTCAACATGTGCCTGGCTGGTGAGATACCTGAGGTCATCAGGCCTCTCTTTTTTGGTGCCTCCCTCTGTGCTCTCAAAAAGAAGGACGAAGGAATTAGGCCAATCGCTGTTGGCAACACTCTCCGATGCCTGATTGACATGGCTGCTACGTGAGTAGTCAGCCAGCAAGTGGCTGAATTGCTGAAACCAATCCCGCTAGGATTTGGAATCCCCCAAGGCTGTGAAGCGGCTGCCCATGCAGCACGAGCATACATCACCAACATTTCTGATGAAAAGGCCCTGCTCAAACTGGACTTTAAGAATGCCTTCAACATGGTCAGAAGAGATGCAGTACTTTGTGCCGTGCATCGCCATTTCCGGCCCCTCTACCCGTTCATACTATCGTGCTACAGTGGTGAGTCAAAACTGCTCTTTGGTGAACATGAAATCAGATCATGTGAAGGTGTTCAGCAAGTTGATCCTCTTGCTCCCCTTCTTTTCTGCATAGTCTTAAAGGAAATCACCAAAAGCTTGTCCAGCGAGTTCAACATCTGGTTTTTGGATGATGGTACTATAGCTGGCACCGTAGACCATCTCTTGGCAGATATCAGGAAAATAAGGGAGCAAGAAGTAAGCCTGGGTCTTGTCTTGAACCCTTCCAAGTGTGAAGTAGTCTCTTCCAACCCAGACATCGTAGCTAGAATAAGGTCTGCCTTGCCTGGTGCCCATGTCATTAGGGCTTAGAACAGCACCCTCCTTGGAGCCCCCCTCGGGTCTAACGCCATTGAGGAGATCCTTGACAAGAAAATCGCAGACCTTAGGAGGATGGAAGACAGAATAGGTGACATCGATGCCCACGATGCTTTTTATCTCCTTACCAAATGCCTATCCCTTCCGAGGCTAACCTACTTTCTGAGGTGCGCTCCATCTTACGACAGCCGAAAGCTTGAAGAGTATGACCTCTTACTGAAGACCGTGCTGGAAAAAGTTGTTAACCTCTCCCTCAACGAATGCCAGTGGAAACAAGCCACTCTTCCTGTTAGGCTCGGTGGCTTGGGTGTCCGCACGGCTACCCAAATTGCCGTCCCAGCCTTCCTGTCTTCCTCCTCAGCATCAGATGACCTGGTTAAGGAAATTCTACCTGACACCCTGAGTGATGTAGCGGGGATACAGGATCCCCACTACACGGAATGCGACACGAAATGGGGTGCCATGGCAGACCCAGCACTCAGACCAGCCATGCCGAAAGCCAAGAAACAATCCAGTTGGGACAGCCCCATTGTAGACAAAGAAGCCACAGCTTTGCTGGAGGCAGCAACAACCCCCAGTGATCGTGCACGCCTCACAGCTGTGCAGGCTCCCCATGCAGGGGACTTCCTTTTGGCAGTCCCTATGTCTGCGACAGGCACACGTCTTGATCCGCAGGAGCTCCGTATTGCAGTCGCTCTCCGTCTTGCTGCCCCTATCCACACTGTTCATAGGTGTATTTGTGGCGAGGCAGATGCTGACGAATATGGATTGCATGGCCTGCACTGTGGAAAATCTGGTGGTTGGCACACTAGACACGACGAAGTCAATGACATCATTAAAAGAAGCCTTGCCTTTGCTCAGTGTCCAGCGGAGAGAGAGCCCCGCAACCTACTGAACCGTGACTGTTAGCTTTGCCGGCCGACCAGACGGAATCACACTGCGACCGTGGAAGGGTGGCAGACAGTTGGCATGGGACTATACTTGTGTATCCACCCTGGCAACCACATACATCAACCTCTCTGCCGGCACAGCAGGAGCCGCGGCGACACGCAGAGAAAGAGACAAGTCAGCCAAGTACAGGCAATTAGATCATCGGTACAACTTCGTTCCAATAGGGTCTGAGACCCTAGGCCCATGGGGAGAGAGTGCAAGAAGGTTTCTTAAGGATCTTGGTTCCAAGCTCATTGACACCACAAGAGACCCTAGAGCAGCAAGTTTTCTCTTTCAGCGCCTCAGTGTCGCAATCCAGTGGGGGAATGCTCGCTGCATCCTCGGTTCCTGCCCGGCATCGGAGGAGTTCGAGGAAATCTACAGCCTCTAGGAAGCGAACTTTTTTGTGTGTCCTCTTAATGTTAATTTTTTGTATAAAATCAAATGTGTAACGGTATAACCTTGCATAATAAAGTGTACACCATAAAAAAAGGGAGGTGGTAGAAGAAGCGAACACTCTTACGTATTCAGAGTTAAATGGCAAGTTTTTCCCTGAATACTCTGTGTTCCCTTCTCTGAGGCTGTGGGTCCCTATAATTGCACCAGAGGTGGTACCCCTATATATATATATATATATATATATATATATATATATATATATATATATATATCGGTCGTACTCGGCCTACTATGTAAGGCCCGATTTGCCTAATAAGCCAAGTTTTCATGAATTAATATATTTTCTTTAATTTTTTTCTTATGAAATGATAAAGCTACCCATTTCATTATGTATGAGGTCAATTTTTTTTTATTGGAGTTAAAATTAACGTAGATATATGACCGAACCTAACCAACCCTACCTAACCTAACCTATCCTATCTTTATAGGTTAGGTTAGGTTAGGTAGCCGAAAAAGTTAGGTTAGGTTAGGTTAGGTAGGTTAGGTAGTCGGAAAACAATTCAGTAAAACTTGGCTTATTAGGCAAATCGGGCCTTGCATAGTAGGCTGAGAAGTGCGTTCTGGCTACTAGGTACGACATATACATATATATATATATATATATATATATATATATATATATATATATATATATAATAGT